AAGTGCAATATTATTATATTAATGAGGATTGCATCTAGATATTACAGTGTGTGAAAATAAATTGTTTTGCATATCAAATCTGCTGTACTATATCTATCCAATTAACTATAGCCATTACATATTACCCACAGTTTACTAATAATTCCTTCTGAAAGCTGATTTATTTTATTAGTGTAACCATGGCTTTTGAGTAAATGTCCGTTACATGTAATCTGCCAGAATTATGAGCCTTGATTGGTTGTGAAGTCAGGCATGAATTCAGTTTATTATGGCATGTTATAACTTATCTATTTCAAACTATCAATCTATATTCTCATAAATCTAATCTCCTTTAAAAGTTTTTTTTTTTTATGTGAAAACTAGGTCTGTGTACTAATCAGGCATAGTGAATTCCTTTTAGCCTTCTTTGTGACTGAACAAAATAAATTCACTTCTCATTTCTAAATTACCTTGACATCAATTTCCTAGATTTCCTATTGTGTCTGTGTCAATGTTGATTGATTTCTAGAATTTAATTTAGCAAGGCTTTGTCAATAACATTATTTATGTTGATATTGTAGTTGGATGAGAATAAAATATATTAAAGGGATCTACAAACATAATGTACAAGTAGTTAAATCACTCTGCATTAAAATATGTTATGTTCCGTCTTAGTGTCAAGAAATGAATCCATTCAGGCTTGTGGAAAAAACAAAAACACCTAGTTCTTTTTTGACTCCCGTGTGCGAAGCACAACAGGGACTATGACATGACCTTTGAGTACTTTTGTTAAAAATAAAATCCGTCCCAATCCATTTGCCTATTTCATTTAACTTCTCCTTGTTGTGTCCTTAAGTCAAATGCATTCAAATACAGACTTGAACTGTCAGTGACAATGACTTATTAAAAGTTAAAGAAAATCTTTCTATTGATAATCCAATGCGCTTGCATATATTAATCTAGTCCTGGATCAATGGTGTTGTCAAAGTGGATGTTATATTTGTTCGTCTGCTACCAACTGAAACACTGTGTGGATCTTGCTTAAGAAAAAAAAAATGAGGTTATTGTGTAAGACAAAAATACACTGTGTGTTTAACAGTGATTACTAGTACCTAACTTTCCTGAACACAGAATTTCAAGCAAATTGTGCCAAATTTTAACTTTAATTGTAATTTTCACAGATAAATCAACTATTACATTGGGCACTAAAATGAACTGAACAAGAAACTGATTTTGCTATCAGTTTCTTTTGGAGTATTACATTATTCCTGATGACTGGAATTTAATAAGTAGAAAAAATGATCAAATTAATAACGTGTATTATAATATTAGTCCGAAAATTTTAAATGTACATTCACAAATTCAATAAGTCAGAAAGATAACACATTACAGTATTGTACTGTATTGTATTACAGAAATTTTAAAAAGTACTTCTCTTACTTATCACACTCAGTCAATTTAAAAATTAAACAAGTCAGCAATATTGCACGTTAAATTAGTACGTCTCGGCAATTTGAAAAGTAAATTTGTTGCAAATTCAATACATCAGAATGAGATTACAATTATTTTAAAACTATATTTTGTCTGGAATTGAGTTAGTCAAAAAATTAGACATTTTTAAATGTACATTCTGACAATTTAAAAAGTATATTTCTATTAAATAAACAAAGTCCAACAGTTGGTTTATTATAATATTATATCTTGACAATTTAAAAAATACCGTACATTTGTCATGAATTAAATAAAATCACACCAAAATATTTTATGCCATCAATTTATTATATATTTTATAAAGTTTGTCTTGTATTACATTTTTTGTAAGTCAGGAAGATTACACATTATATTATTATGCTCTGAATTTTTTTGAAAAGTACGTACATTGTATGTGTCTTTCTAAATTATACAAGTCAGAAAGATTACACATTATTAAATGTTATGTTCCAACAGATGTAAATCTTATTTTAAATTTAGTACAAAGACATGACATAATTGTATGAATATTACATGTGGTTTGAAGCACAGCAGTCATTTCATAGCATTGTGTTCAATATGGTACCCATAGCAACATATAAAGAACATGTAGCACTTTAAGTGATGCTGGCCATTTATGTCCAAAAAATACATTTGTAAACAGCTGTTCATATAGAAGAAGGGTGGGTAGTAGTTTTTCAAAAATATGATTTTAGCAATAAAATCAGTAAATACAAAACACTGTTTTGGTGATAAACTTCACATGAGAATACTTGTGTAACACTTTTGAACATGTCCATACAGCGGTTTATAGATAGGTACATGTCAGAGCATCACATGCTTTTTTGTTTTCATCCAAGTCAGCTATGTTGTATGTTGTATAAAAAAAATACCTCCTTTGATAATTTACTAGCAATTTGTGTGGTTGTGTCACTGGCGTAAAGTCTTGTTTATAATGTATTCATCTTTACAATGATTTATTTCTAATGTTTATCTGTTCATTCCTTTCAGAGTGATGTGGATAATCTGCCTAATTTGCAAAGACTGTTTCTTAGTTTTAACCAAATTAGCAGGTAAGAGCATTTATTTGAGATAAATTATATTATTTTACCCCCTCACAGTCACTTCTTTTATTGAATATCTTATAAAAATGTTATTAATTGAAAATATTTTTATTGATATTGTCAATTTACGTTGAATAAAAATTATTAAAATAATAAGTCATTGAATGTCCTTGTAATTTTAATAAATAAATGCCATCATATTTCATTAGCCCCACTGTCATTGAAAATGACAGACAGAGGTGTCCTTCGTCATCATCATTGTCTCCTATCAACTTTTTTTTTTTTCAACTGACTTCTTGAAAACTACTTGGTACACATTCCTTGGGTGGATTTGAACATTTATTGATGTTATTTTTAGTCCCCTTTCAGACGAAGTCCGAAAATGGGGACTTATGTTTTGACCTTTGTGCGTTCATGCATCCATCCTTGCATCCGACCGTGCGTCAAACTTCACACATACATAATATTATACATATGCACATCAATTTGTTTCACGATCTGATTCAAGATGGCCAAATGGTAGCCATTTTTGTGCTAAAAAAAACATCAAAATTAAGCATTTATTGATAGGTTTTGTTAAATTTGGTACATACGTTGGACATTATGGTACCTTGATGCACGTCATTTTATTTTTAGACCTAATTTAAAATGGCCGACTGGTGGCCATTTTGTTTTAATGAATGCAGTTCTAGTACCATATCTCTGCCATGCGCGTGCGTGCGTGTGTGCGTGTCCATTCCACTGATATCTCATGAACCATATGATTTTTGATGAAACCTGGTACAAAAATGCTCTGGACTTATGCACAAATTAGTTTTGTAATTTTTTGGGCTTTTCCACTGATATCTAGTCATCACATTTTAATAAAACTTGATACATAGATGTAATAGGACAATGCGCAGATCTATTAAGTTTTGGGTTAATATCTGTTCATATTAATGAAATGTGTTACATAGATGGTATGTGACATTGCCCATTTCTGCTTTCTCAAAAAATCAGATTTAAATTGAATTTGTGGTAGAGGTGCTCTGGAATTAATTAGACTGAAAACAACAGATGTAAAATCAAATGTATTCAAGTTTTATAAATTGTCAAGCTTCTTGTTTGAATGGCCAGTCTTAAATTTTGAATTAATTTTTAATAATGTGTCTCCAATACTTCTCACCACACAGTTCTTTTAAAGATTTTAGTATTTATAATAGATAATATTATTATGTTATTGTTGACACTCTTGAAAAACTTGATTCAAATTGCTTTCATACAGTAGTGCTGAAACAGGAAAGCTATTTCAACCATCATGTCATGCTTGTTTGTGTTATTTAACTAAAAAGTACTTTTTTTGCCTTCATTTAATTTGATAGATGTGTATGGCCTCAATGCAGATTGAAGGCTACATTGAATGACATTCTTTTTCTTCTAATTGTATCAATTGACAACATTTCTAATATTTGTATAATAGTCTGTTAAACAACGTTGTATTTTCTGTTATGTCTTTTATGTTGTAAAATTTTATCAATTGAATGTTGTGCTCATCAGTATTTGTTCATTCTCTGCATGATCAGTGAGTGTATTGTTCAGCATTCACAAGTCTTGCAAAATATTGTCTCGTTGTCATGACTAAATGCAAATTGTTGTAAATTTTGAATATCCGAAAGTACATTCATTTTAAGAATTATAAAATACACCTCATAAATGTATCAATAACCTTGAAAAAGAATATTGTTCTAAAATATGAAATTGCCTGCATCTACCCCCGGTACTACTCTCTGACAAAACAATTTTGTTATTAGTTAAAAAAATGTTTTGTGTTTTATCAGATGTTTACTGACATGAAAGCTATTTAATTAAGAAATTATCCAATTAAAATACATAATGATATTATTCATTCAAAATTACCATCTGAGGGCAGTATAATACAATCTTTGTTTCTATGGAAACATAGGCTTGTGTACTGCTGATCAGTTTAATGTCTACAATTCTGTTGTTTATACATTGAGTTCAATTCATGGTAACATGGCAGTACTGATAACTCCATTATATATTCTTGTCCATTGACATAGTAACCATCTAATGACACCCTCCTTGGAGGGGGGGGGGGGTCTTTTCTACTCCATTAGTCTACTTATTATCATAATTTATTTTTCCTATTTTTACCTTTCCTTTAAATTGTGCCTGTGAGATGAAGCATCAGTTCTTGTAAATTTTGATAAAATGTGATTGAACTTGATTGAAAATAAACACTTGCACATCTTTCACATACATGCTTTAGATATGAACCGTTAATATCCTGAGAAAGTGTATTTTAGGTTGGCTTTTACATAATCCTTTTTTTTTTAGCTCCGCTGTCGACTTT